AGAGAAAAATAAAAATTTATATATATTTTTCTCTTTCTAATAACTTTGACAACCAATTCAAACAATTTAATAGCTAATTCTAATGTTAATTAATTCCAATAAGTTGTAATATATATTTAGCCATAAAAAATAAATAAATATGATTCCAAATCAAATGTGTTATTATAAAATATTAAACGGTTTGGAAAATATATATTTTATTCATTGAACCAAACAATATACTACACCAACAAAACTTAATAGCACATAATTTATTTTTTTGAAATTATTAAATTAAAACCAAATAATATACTACACCAAAAAAACTTAATAACATATAAAAACAATTAGTGCAATTAAAAAAATTTCTACTAGAGAAAGTATTAACCAATACTTTTGAAAGAAAAACTTACTCCACCACAAATTGTGAATCTATAAAAACTCTTTTTATTTTTATTATTCCTTCCACACTGTAATCATGACGAGAAAAACATAATACAATTCACCAATTAGTCGATGTGAAAAATAAAAATCACATCAAAACGATTAAAAGAGAGACAAAAATACAATCAAGAATAATTATTCTCTTTTTTATGATTCAAAGTTCTAATGAAATAAACATAGAGATAAGTTCCAACATCTTTGTTGAGATGATGCATATGTTTTGGTAGAGGCGCCAAGCATACTACAAGTTATCGTATCAATAAATTTATTTTTACGAACGTGTTTGATACAAGAAAAAAAAGACCAAACATTTTTATTAACTTTACTTTACATTTTTATCAACTTACATAATATATATCTCCTACAAGTTTATGTCAGTTCATATACAAATTTTTATTAATGAACAATCTCTTTTTTTTACATATAACATTGTATCAATAATTTGCTACAAATATTTAGTTTTCGAACCTAGATAATTATTTAGTATAAACATCAAAGTTTGTAATATTAAATTCATAAATAATTAATAAGTTAAAATATTATCGCATATTATAATTTTAATTTTTAGATCCACGCATCGCGTGAGCAATCTCTAGTTTCTATATATTTTCCTTTCGCTGACTAATGATCTTTGTC